TAGAGGCAGAAGTGTCTCTTGCTGTAAACTCGCCCCCCATTTTTCTTCTTTTGCAGCTGCATGATAACAATCTTATTTGCCTTTGGTTCGTCACTTTCCGAGTCTTGAAGAAAAGTGTTTTTGATTTTTCTTTTTCCATACTTTTTTACAGGTTTCTTCTTGACAGTTAAATCGTCAGAATCTGAGTCGACTTCATCAATTAGGGACTCTTGACTAAGCTGCACAAACAACAAATAATTTGTAATCATTCTATATAACAATTTGAAGTCATGACTTGTAGTCAGCACTTACCAGTGGTTTGTAAGCGTGCGCTTCAGTGTGCTCCTCCATGATTTCTTGCAGCCTAATGAACCACACACTTGCACCTTTTTCTAGCCTGACACCTGATTTCCTCTGTTGTGCTGCTCCATGATTGGCTCCAGCCTGCTGGACTGAAATTGCCCCAGTGTGCCCCTCCTTGATATCCCGCAACCCACCACCAGGGTTCCGACACATAACACACTTTTTTCAGGAAAGTAAACCTCCAGGGGTCCTTTCCATATTTTTACAGAGACTGCATAAGGACCGTTAGAAAAGCATTACCCATTGATTATTAAGCTTGGACCAGTGGGGTCCGGTGTTCGGGCCCCACCACGTAAAACCAGTCCCCATGACGTGAGTGGAATCTCAGGTTATGGAACCCACCAGGAGTTGAAAACAAGTGCACACACACACACACACACACACACAGACACACACACACACACAGGTCACTCGGGCACTAAAGCTGATCCAGGATTAAATCATTTCTATAATTTATGCTGTTTTGATGTTGTTTTTCTGACTTCAAACCCACGGCTTTTCTGACAGGAATTTAGAAAAAATAATGATTATAAATTTTTATTTAAAGGCAACTTCAATTTCCACCAAACCTCAAAGTGCCACAGAAAAAAACAGAAGCAAAATCAAAGAAACCTAAAATATTTAAAAAATGAATGGGTTAAAAGTGTGTTGCATGTTCTCCCTGTGTCTGTGTGGTTGTCCTCCAGGTGCTCCAGGTCCCTACACGCCCTGCAGAGACATTAGAGAAACAAAAGCTTATTTACAGTATTATTCTGATCCTCTTCTTTCTCCTGGTTTTACTTCCGTCCTTTTCACATTTTCTCATCCACCTCCACAACATTTTCCACTTTTTGCTTTTCTCCGAATTTCACCAAAATCACAAAAAATATATTTAATTACTATTTCTTGAAACTCGATACCGATAAAAACACTGGATCAGGACAAAGCTTTTCAACTATTGTGGAGACTAAAGTTTGTGTTTTAATGTATTTATTTCATTTAGAACATTGTGAATCTCTTTGGGACTTCTTTGATTAAAGGAAAGTGAACGTGTGGGGCCTTCTCGGGGGCCCCTGTGCCTGTGCCCCTGTGTCCCTGTGTCCCTGTGCCTGTGTCCCTGTGCCCCTGTGTCCCTGTGTCCCTGTGCCCTGTGTCCCTGTGTCCCTGTGTCCCTGTGCCCCTGTGTCCTGTGCCCCTGTGTCCCTGTGCCTGTGTCCCTGTGTCCCTGTGCCCCTGTGTCCTGTGCCCCTGTGCCCCTGTGCCCCTGTGCCCCTGTGTCCTGTGTCCATGTGCCCCTGTGTCCCTGTGCCCCTGTGTCCTGTGTCCCTGTGTCCTGTGTCCATGTGCCCCTGTGTCCCTGTGCCCCTGTGTCCTGTGTCCCTGTGTCCTGTGTCCATGTGCCCCTGTGTCCATGTGCCCCTGTGTCCTGTGCCCCTGTGCCCCTGTGTCCTGTGTCCATGTGCCCCTGTGTCCCTGTGCCCCTGTGTCCTGTGTCCATGTGCCCCTGTGCCCCTGTGTCCCTGTGTCCCTGTGCCCCTGTGTCCTGTGTCCATGTGCCCCTGTGTCCCTGTGCCCCTGTGTCCTGTGTCCATGTGCCCCTGTGCCCCTGTGTCCCTGTGTCCCTGTGCCCCTGTGTCCTGTGTCCATGTGCCCCTGTGTCCCTGTGTCCTGTGCCCCTGTGCCCCTGTGCCCCTGTGTCCCTGTGCCCCTGTGTCCCTGTGTCCCTGTGTCCCTGTGCCCCTGTGTCCTGTGTCCCTGTGTCCTGTGTCCCTGTATCCTGTGTCCCTGTATCCCTGTATCCCTGTGCCCCTGTGTCCCTGTGTCCCTGTGCCCCTGTGTCCTGTGTCCCTGTGTCCTGTGTCCCTGTATCCCTGTGCCCCTGTGTCCCTGTGTCCCTGTGTCCCTGTGTCCCTGTGCCCCTGTGTCCTGTGTCCCTGTGTCCTGTGTCCCTGTATCCCTGTGCCCCTGTGTCCTGTGTCCCTGTGTCCTGTGTCCCTGTGTCCCTGTGTCCCTGTGTCCCTGTGCCCCTGTGTCCTGTGTCCCTGTGTCCTGTGTCCCTGTGTCCCTGTGCCCCTGTGTCCTGTGTCCCTGTGTCCTGTGTCCCTGTATCCCTGTGCCCCTGTGTCCCTGTGTCCCTGTGTCCCTGTGTCCCTGTGTCCCTGTGTCCTGTGTCCCTGTATCCCTGTGCCCCTGTGTCCCTGTGTCCCTGTGTCCCTGTGTCCCTGTGCCCCTGTGTCCTGTGTCCCTGTGTCCCTGTGCCCCTGTGCCCCTGTGTCCTGTGTCCCTGTATCCCTGTGCCCCTGTGTCCCTGTGCCCCTGTGCCCCTGTGTCCCTGTGTCCCTGTGTCCCTGTGCCCCTGTATCCCTGTGCCCCTGTGCCCCTGTGTCCCTGTGTCCCTGTGTCCCTGTGCCCCTGTGTCCTGTGTCCCTGTGTCCCTGTATCCCTGTGCCCCTGTGTCCCTGTGTCCCTGTGTCCCTGTGCCCCTGTGCCCCTGTGTCCTGTGTCCCTGTATCCCTGTGCCCCTGTGTCCCTGTGTCCTGTGTCCCTGTGTCCTGTGTCCCTGTATCCCTGTGCCCCTGTGTCCCTGTGTCCCTGTGTCCCTGTGTCCCTGTGCCCCTGTGTCCTGTGTCCCTGTATCCCTGTGCCCCTGTGCCCCTGTGTCCTGTGTCCCTGTGTCCTGTGTCCCTGTATCCCTGTGCCCCTGTGTCCCTGTGTCCCTGTGTCCCTGTGCCCCTGTGCCCCTGTGTCCCTGTGCCCCTGTGTCCCTGTGTCCCTGTGTCCCTGTGTCCCTGTGCCCCTGTGCCCCTGTGTCCCTGTGCCCCTGTGCCCCTGTGCCCCTGTATCCCTGTGTCCCTGTGTCCCTGTATCCCTGTGCCCCTGTGTCCCTGTGTCCCTGTGCCCCTGTGCCCCTGTGCCCCTGTGTCCCTGTGCCCCTGTGTCCCTGTGTCCCTGTGTCCCTGTGTCCCTGTGCCCCTGTATCCCTGTGCCCCTGTGCCCCTGTGTCCCTGTGCCCCTGTGTCCCTGTGTCCCTGTGTCCCTGTGCCCCTGTATCCCTGTGTCCCTGTGTCCCTGTGTCCCTGTGTCCCTGTGCCCCTGTATCCCTGTGCCCCTGTGCCCCTGTATCCCTGTGCCCCTGTATCCCTGTGTCCCTGTGTCCCTGTGCCCCTGTGCCCCGTGCCCCTGTATCTGTTAGGGCCGGCCCTGGGCACTTTATAACTGTCTGTGGAATCCTAGAGAAAAAAACATGGAGAATATTGAATTTGGTTAAATCTGTTTATTAATGTTCCACTCAAAACAAAATCAAAACATTTCTATGAATGATACACGACTGAAACAGAGAGAAGGTAAACAAAGACATGTTTACATATTTACAGTGTATTTACATAATGCCAGCTCTGTGGGAGGTCTGTGAGAAATGCAGAAACATGACCTTTGACCCAAAACAGCAGCGTCTGCAACGGCTTCATAAAGTCACAATTTACGATTTAAAAAAAAGATTCAAATGTTGTCAGTTTCCAGGACTTCACCTTCGTCAAGTTCAAAAGATAGATAGATAGATAGATAGATAGATAGATAGATAGATAGATAGATAGATATGATAGATAGATAGATAGATAGAAAGAAAAAAACAAATCCATAAAAACACATGAGTAAGTTCTAAACATTTCTAACAAACTAAGTAACAAAAGAATGAGGCTTTGGACAAATCCACCGGGACTGACTCTGAGGAGCACAGGGACTGGCCTCCTGCTGGGACTCTGAGGAGCACAGGGACTGGCCTCCTGCTGGGACTCTGAGGAGCACAGGGACTGGCTCCTGCTGGGACTCTGAGGAGCACAGGGACTGGCCTCCTGCTGGGACTCTGAGGAGCACAGGGACTGGCTCCTGCTGGGACTCTGAGGAGCACAGGGACTGGCCTCCTGCTGGGACTCTGAGGAGCACAGGGACTGGCCTCCTGCTGGGACTCTGAGGAGCACAGGGACTAGCCTCCTGCTGGGACTCTGAGGAGCACAGGGACTGGTCTCCTGCTGGGACTCTGAGGAGCACAGGGACTGGACTCCTGCTGGGACTCTGAGGAGCACAGGGACTGGTCTCCTGCTGGGACTCTGAGGAGCACAGGGACTGGCCTCCTGCTGGGACTCTGAGGAGCACAGGGACTGGCCTCCTGCTGGGACTATGAGGAGCACAGGGACTGGCCTCCTGCTGGGACTCTGAGGAGCACAGGGACTGGCCTCCTGCTGGGACTCTGAGGAGCACAGGGACTGGTCTCCTGCTGGGACTCTGAGGAGCACAGGGACTGGCCTACTGCTGGGACTCTGAGGAGCACAGGGACTGGCCTCCTGCTGGGACTCTGAGGAGCACAGGGACTGGCCTCCTGCTGGGACTCTGAGGAGCACAGGGACTGGCCTCCTGCTGGGACTCTGAGGAGCACAGGGACTGGCCTCCTGCTGGGACTCTGAGGAGCAGGGACTGGCCTCCTGCTGGGACTCTGAGGAGCACAGGGACTGGCCTCCTGCTGGGACTCTGAGGAGCACAGGGACTGGCTCCTGCAAACCACTGAAGGACTATATTTTCACTTCTTTGAACGTTCTGTGATTATTTCTGGTTCTTAAAGTCACCTTCTGTGGCACATATTTACACAAACTGATATTTTGAGAGACCTTGACCGAACACACACTTCACAAAGACAGAGCTGGGGTGGTCTCCGTCTCCGACATGACGGACGGCTGCCTCTTGGAGCTCGACGGCGACACCATGAGTCCGGCTTTGCTCAGACTTCCCGCTCTCATCTTCACCATCTTCATCAGGTCTTGCCGGAATCTAACCCCGATAAACACGTAGAGAAAGGGGTTGAGGCAGGCGTGCGTGTAGGCCAGGCTCTTGGCCACCTTCCCCGCCACGTCGAACCTCTTCACCGTCTCACAGTCCGTAATGCTAACGTTAGCCGCTTGCGTAGCCTCCATGACGAGAAAGGCGTTGTACGGGAGCTGGGAAAGGACAAACACCAAAACGACGGCGAAAATGACGCGCAGGGCTTTGTGCTTTTCGAAGTTCTTGGCCTGGAGAAGCTTCCGGATGATCACGGAGTAGCAGAAAAACATGATAATCAGCGGGAGGCAAAACCCGACGCAGATCTGCAAAGCTAGCACTAAGATTTTCGTCCGATTCTTGCTGTTGTCCCCGTAAACCAGCGCGCAGGACTTCTTCTCGCCCGTCCTCACCGTGGCGAACATGAACTCGGGCAAAGCTAGCAGCACGGAGGCTAGCCACACCGCTAAACACGCCACTTTGCTGTAGAACAAACGCTTCTTCTTGCTGTTGTGGGCTTTGGCGACCTGCACGATGGCCACGTACCGGTCCACGCTGATGCAGGTGAGGAGGAGCACGCTGCTGAAGAAGTTGATCTTGTAAACGGGGAGAACCACTTTGCAGGCGCCGCGGCCGAAGCTCCAGCCGTTGAGCGCGTCCTGGGCCCAGAAGGGGAGGGTGCAGAGGAAGAGGAGGTCGGCCACGGCGAGGTTGAGCAGGTAGATGTCGGTCATGGTCTTGATGCGGCGGCGGAAGGTGCAGTAGATGAGGACGACGAGGAGGTTTCCCACGGCGCCCAAGAGGAAGATGATCCAGAACAGCGGCGGTTCGTACTGCGCCCGGAAGTCTCGCACCCAACCGCGGCCGCACATCCCGCCGCCGTCCGGGGAACCGGTGCCGTAGTCATCGGTGCCGTAGTCATCGGTGCCGTAGTCCTCGGTCTGGAAACACACACACAAGTAATGAATGAGGAATGCAGACGCACACATGCAGACGCACACATGCAGACGCACACATGCAGACACACACATACAGAGATTAAGAGATACTTTCTTTGTCCCACAAAACTCACACACACAAAAACACAGACAAACTCCAAGACAGACAATAACTCACCCACGCACAAACACAGGTGTACACACACACACACACACACACACACACATGCAGACGCACGCACACACACACACACATGCAGACGCACACACACACACAAAGGGAACAAGAACTAAACTACTGTATTTCTTTTGTTCCAAACAGAAAGATTGTTGTAAAGAAACCAGTTCATGATTTCTTCAGAGTAATTTAGAAAACCAAATCATAACAAAAGTTTAGAGAGCGACGAACGACATTATTTATAGATAATGTTGGTTTGATTTCAAAGTCCTCCATCTTTAAACATGTCAGAGGAACTCAGACACACGGAGGTTGTGTTCAGAACTGTTTTGTGACTTTAAACTTTTCCATCTCTACAGTTCTTTAAAGTTCTTTAAAGTGTTGCAACATCGTCTCCATGGATACCAGTTCAGAGACAGACACAGATGGATTTTATCACAACGTCTGAAACGGTGTCTGTGGTTTTCAGAGTCGATGCTGGAGATAAGCTTCTGGAGCCGTTGCTTTGTGTTGCTGTGTGTTGCTGTGTGTTGCTGTGTGTGTTGCTGTGTGTTCTGTTGTGGGAATGGCGAGCGTTGATGACACGTAGGAGATGACGCACACGGCGAGAACCAGGTGCGACTGAGGCCTCGATACAAACCACCAAAAACACGCTCTTATAAGGCTTTGTGGGTGAGAGACAGGGGCCCAAGAGGGAGACACACACAGAGATACACACACAGAGATACACACACACACACAGAGATACACACACACACAGAGATACACACACAGAGATACACACACAGACAGAGATACACACACACACACAGAGATACACACAGAGATACACACACAGAGATACACACACAGACAGAGATACACACACACACAGAGATACACACAGAGATACACACACAGAGATGGGCTTGTTCACACTAAAGGGCACAAAAGTGTGACAAAAGGCCAAAAATTAGATTTTAATAATCAGAAGATATTTTATGTTTTTCATGTTTCCAAACACCTCCTCTGTCCATTAGAAGTTTCTAGAACAAAACTGTTTTATACATTAGACAAGTTTCCTACAGCGCCCTGTTTATTTTATCTAACGGACGATGATTTGACGGAATGAGCTTTGTGGAAGTTTGATTGTATTTTCAGATGTCCACATTTGATTCAGAGATTCTACTTTTTTACACAAAGTAGATGCAAAGTGATACTTTCATATTGTCAACCAATTAAATGTGAAAACAGACCAGATTTTTTTTCTTCTCAAGTTTAATTTTTAGAGAAAAGAGGACCGTCCTCATCACGTCCGTTATACATTTTTCAGGGGTCATTTAATTAATTTTTATTTTGTTATTTTTTTACGATTCCTTTTTATATCAAGTGATTTCCTTCTGTTGTGTTAATGTAAATCTTGTGGGATTTCATCTTCTGCTTTTTCAGACTGAGGACATTTTATTTTCTATGTAACCGGCGTCACAGTAGAATGGTCCAATCAGAGGCTACTTTGGTCGTTTAAAATGTTGCTAAACATTTTTATGTCAATCTTTCCTTTTGATTTTTTCCACACTATCTCTTCAATGTGTCTGTGTTTGAAATCTTTTTTCCAATCTATGAAAGTAATTTTAGTTTTTAAGTTATAACCTTTTAAAGTCCAGATACTTCAATTGTCACTTTACTGTGAACACACTCAGTTATACACACACACAGAGATACACACAGAGATACACACACAGAGATACACACAGAGATACACACACAGAGATACACACACAGACAGAGATACACACACACACAGAGATACACACACACACAGAGATACACACACAGACAGAGATACACACAGAGATACACACACACACACAGAGATACACACACAGACAGAGACACACACAGAGATACACACAGACACAGACACAGAGATACACACACAGAAAGAGATACACACACACACACAGAGATACACACACACACACAGAGATACACACACACACACAGATACACACAGAGATACACACAGACACAGAGATACACACACAGACACAGGGGCCCAAGAGGGACACACACACAGAGATACACACACAGACAGAGAAACACACACACAGAGATACACACACAGACAGAGACACACACAGAGATACACACAGAGATACACACAGACACAGACACAGAAATACACACACAGACAGAGATACACACACAGACACAGGGGCCCAAGAGGGACACACACACAGAGATACACACACAGACAGAGACACACACAGAGATACACACAGACACAGACACAGAGATACACACACAGACACAGGGGCCCAAGAGGGAGAAACACACAGAGATACACACACAGAGATATACACACACACACACACACAGAGATACATACACAGACAGAGATACACACACACACACACACACAGAGACACACACAGAGAGATACACAGAGACACAGAGATACACACACGGAACAACCACAAAGATTTCACTTTAGATTAAAGACCACAATAACGACCTGAAAACACGACACATTTATGTAACATGAGTTTTTTCTTTTTATATGTATTTATTATTATTATCATTATTATCATTACTATTATCGTTATTATTATCATTATTATCATTATTATTATCATTATTATCATTATTATTATCATTATTATCATTATAACAAAGCAGACCAAATAAGTCCGTCTTCCTGTGTTTGAACTGTGTGATTTTCTGATCTGTTGTTGGTGAATCCACAACTTTGTAAATCCCTCTGAGACGACAGTGATGCACAGCTACAGTAAAAACCGTCAGTCTCTGGATGTGCAGCTCTTTCACTTTTTTAGAATAAAATCATGTTTTATTTTAGCTTTAACTTCTCTGTCGTCGGATACTTTGTGTCAGTCTCTCTCACAAACACAAAACACACATTTCTTTGTTGTTTTAAGATCGCAGCAGAACAGAACACTGCAAAACCTGATGGAAAATTATAAAATAGGTAAAAAAATTGGCAAAATGTGTTTTAATTTCTGAATCTGGTTTTGAGCTCAGTCAAAAAGTGTCAGATTAAGACAAAAAACACTGGATTTAAGCATTTATTACCTCATTTTTGATCATTTTTTGTAGTGAAGGAGAAATAACATCGGTCAAATTAAACAGGACCGAATATAAAAGTTAATTAATAATATAATAACAATAATAATATAATAACAATAATAATATAATAACAATAATAATATAATAACAATAATAATATAATAACACAGTAATAAACACATTATAGTGTGATTCTGCATCAGTAAATATCAGTTGTTTAAAGTTTGATGCAAAGTGAGACTTACTGTCCAGAAGTAGTCAGAGTCCAGGGGGGGTCCTGTGGCTGTGGCTGGATCCATGGTCTGTCAACACAACTACACAACCACACAACTACACAACTACACAACACTTTCGTCAGATTGTTTAGAAAAATTGGAGGGAAAACGACTAAAACCAAGAGAGAAAACTGTTTCACTCCGAGTCTGAGAGAGAGTGATGACTGTGTGTGTGTGTCTGCTCTCTTATAGTCTGACACACACAGACACAGACGCACACACAGACACACACAGACATTGACTCATGCACACACACACACAGACGCACACAAGCACAGACGCACACACACAGACGCACACACAGACACACACACAGACAGACGCACACAGACGCACACACAGACATTGACTCATGCACGCACACAAGCACACACACACACACACACACACACACACGTTCACACACGCTCACACACACACACACACACACACACACACACACACACACTAAAACTTAACATGTTTCTGTTTCCTTCTCCTTTTACTCAAAATTCTCAAAAAAAAAAAGAAAAAAGTGATTTAGTTTAAACTTCAGTCCGAGCTTGAACTGTGTCTTTTTTAGACAAACAGGAAGCTCATTAATTTCAATGGAAAATGGAAAAATGAAAATTGATATTTTTCACACATGTCGGTTGGAAATTATCTCCTCCTCGGCCGTTTCACCGATTTGTCTCAAAATCGCTCCACATGGTCTAAACACATGTACCATCAATTATTGAATATAGAAATTTGGATCAGTTAAACGTTGTCCGAGCAGCGGAGCGGCAAAATGTGACTTTTTTTTGGGGATTTTTGACAAAAGTAAATTTGCTCCCATTTGCACAAACAAAGCCGGATTTGCACCAAATTTTAATCCATTGTTCAGCTCCAGGGTCTAGGTCATTTGAAAGTGGAAATATTGAAATTGGCTCATTAGCGCCCCCTACAGAACATGTCAAAGTTTTGCATGGGCTTTTTCAAATTTAGTTTTGTCAAAATGTTTGAAATTTTTCACATAATTCTGTTTTGTCATCTGGATTCAAAAAGTCAATGACAACATATGGTTATTTTTTACCCTGTTGCCGTGGCGACGACCAACACTCCCCTGTCTGTGTCTATGAGAAAATCGTTAAATCTCTGAAAAGTACACCTCGCTCAAACATCAAACCAGCCGCGGCCGTTTCACTAATTTGTCTGAAAATCGCTCCACATGGTCTCAACACATGGACCATCAATAGTTGCATATAGAGTTTGAATTAGTCAAACGGTCTGAGCGTGACAGACTCCCAAAGTGTGGTTATTTTCATAGAGAGGTGTGAAGTTCCCATGTTATCCAATGGAGACTGTATGGACACACTCACAGATTGTATGAACAAACAGGAGCACATTCACAAACTCTGATTTGCACTAAACTTGACTCTGTTGTTCAACTCCTGGGCCTAGGTCACATGACAGTGTGAACAATGACATTGGCCCATTAGCGCCCCCTACAGGCTGAGTAAAGGTTTACATGGGGATACAGGTATTTAGGTTTTATGTTGTTTGATCTCATATTTGACCCACTGAACAAACACGAAAACTCACCAAACTTTGCCACAAGTTTTTTTCAGGCATAAAGTGTATTATTTTGGTGATATTTGGTATAACACTAAAAAATTGAAATTGTAGGGGGCGCTATTGTACAACATTAAATGCCACCATTTTCACATACAAAGTCCGATTTGCACAAAATTTGAATTGATTGTCCAACTCTTGGGTTTGAGTAAATTGAAAATGTAAATCATGAAATTGCAGCAATAGCGCCCCCTACAGACTGACTCAAGTATTACATGGGGAGAATGAGCTTTACCTTTTCAAGGACACACACAATCACTGCTCATAGGAAATCAAAATGCACAGTGTCGCTCCCATCAGGGCGGTAGGAAAATGGCGCGTCAGCGCCACCTCGGTTGCGTTGTGCGGCGAGGGCCGTTCGACGCCGCTTGTGGCTTTAATGTTTTTTATTCCTGTATTTTTAACCTCTTTACGTATTTACTTGTCTGCTACACACTGGGGACTCTTGCACATGTATTCCAAGGTGGTTTTACTGCAAACGGCAAATGAACTGAAAATAAATTTGTTTTGGAGAATTTCTGTACTTTTTCAGTTTCTCCCGTTTCACAGAAGTGGGAGATTTTAATCCTGAAGTTTTCCTCAGTCCAACCTAAATATGCAACTTATAAAACTGTGTGGTCTGACCATAGTCCAGGCTTTGGGTCTAGAGTCTACAGTCTGTGGGTCTACAGCCTTGGTCTGGGGCTACTGTCTGTGGGTCTTGGTCTGGGTCTGGGTCTACAGTCTGTGGGTCTTGGTCTGGGTCTGGGTCTGGGTCTACAGTCTGTGGGTCTTGGTCTGGGTCTGGGTCTGGGTCTACAGTCTGTGGGTCTTGGTCTGGGTCTGGGTCTACAGTCTGTGGGTCTGACTCACTCCAAACACTCCCTGCTTCACACATGATCAGGTTTCTCCAGGTCCAGTCCTGTTTGTGGAGGAAAACCTGGTTTGGTCTGATCCGTGTGAGGTCCAGACCGGTCTGAATCATTCCGAACCATTCCGAACCGTTGTGAACCAGGAGGAAACTGCAGCAGGAGGAAGTGAGATCTGTGGACATGTGAGAAGAGGAAACTATTCAAATGATCAGAAGCAACGGAACAACAAAGGACTAAAGGTCAAAGAAGAAAAACAAAACTAAAAAGTGGTACTGCAGCCTCTCCCACTCTCCCTGACTCAGGTTGCCAGATATGCAGACGAATCCAGCTGGGACCATAACAGCTGAATAGACAAGAGTTTTGTCAACAACAAATCTATAACCAACACCTTTTTCACAAAGATAGAAATCCTGGTTTTATTCCTTGTTTTGTCGTTAATGATTTGAGAATCATAACGAGACCTTTTTTAGTTCTGCGCCACATGGTACTTTACCAGCGAGATTAGCTCCACGCGGTGAGTTCTGGCGCCCGGATCACAGACTTTCTGATTGGTGAAACGGTGGAGGGCGGGACATCGAAATGAAAACAATAACAAGATTTAGAGGCTGGAAAAGTAATTTAGAAATTAAAATATCTCTGAACTACTGTTATCAGTTAAAGAAGTATTGGAAAAGAGCCGATTATTATTATGACAGATTAGGGCCCTTTAATGATGACAGATTAGGGCCTTTAATGATGACAGATTAGGGCCCTTTAATGAGGACAGATTAGGGCCCTTTAATGCTGACAGATTAGGGCCCTTTAATGAGGACAGATTAGGGCCCTTTAATGCTGACAGATTAGGGCCCTTTAATGATGACAGATTAGGGCCCTTTAATGAGGACAGATTAGGGCCCTTTAATGATGACAGATTAGGGCCCTTTAATGCTGACAGATTAGGGCCCTTTAATGAGGACAGATTAGGGCCCTTTAATGCTGACAGATTAGGGCCCTTTAATGATGACAGATTAGGGCCCTTTAATGCTGACAGATTAGGGCCCTTTAATGAGGACAGATTAGGGCCCTTTAATGCTGACAGATTAGGGCCCTTTAATGAGGACAGATTAGGGCCCTTTAATGCTGACAGATTAGGGCCCTTTAATGAGGACAGATTAGGGCCCTTTAATGAGGACAGATTAGGGCCCTTTAATGATGACAGATTAGGGCCCTTTAATGCTGACAGATTAGGGCCCTTTAATGAGGACAGATTAGGGCCCTTTAATGCTGACAGATTAGGGCCCTTTAATGATGACAGATTAGGGCCCTTTAATGCTGACAGATTAGGGCCCTTTAATGAGGACAGATTAGGGCCCTTTAATGCTGACAGATTAGGGCCCTTTAATGAGGACAGATTAGGGCCCTTTAATGATTGATATTGACGCATTTACAGCTAAGAAACATAGCTACTACTTACTTTGTATATTTTTGTGTGCTCCCTGTTTCTCTTACTGGTCAGTGCGCTGCAACAATGGAATTTCTCCACAGTAGGATGAATAAAGGATCTCTAATCTTACTGTATCACCTGTAATACAGTTTGGACATTTGTGTTTTCCAGTGGTCCCTGAGTCTGGGGCCCAGCTCAGAGGGAAGTGGTCTCTCAGGTTCACGCCATGACCTCAGTCTCACCTCATGATTTCAACGTCTGGTGTAATGTCAACGTTTCTATCTTGTTCGGTTAATCACTCTGAGTTGCCTTGTGCATGAACGGTGCTATGTAAATTAGTAAATAAACTTGTTTTGCATTGCATTTATTTATACATTCTAACGTTTATCAGAACTATGTAATAAAAAGCATTACTACTTTATAACTTATTTAATTAATTGACCTAAATTTAGATCACTGTAGTATTTTTTCCAATATCAAAAATGGAGTTCGAAATTCAAATAAACTATGAATAAATATTAAGTTAGAAAATGGAAAAGATGAACCCCTATTTCCACATGTTCTTGTATGTTATTGATGTGTACTTCCCTCTTTAACCAGCGGAGGGCGCTGTCCCCGCTCTCTCCTCACACCAGCGAAGAAGCGACAGCAGCTGTTAGCTTCTGTCTGCGTCAACAACAAAACAATGGACTTTTGTGGCTTTCCCCGTGTTTTCTGAGGCCTGGATACGGACTCACGCACATTATCCATGATCACGCACTGCTGTAGGTTCAGTTTCTGCGGTAAGAAGCAGGTTGAGGTTCGGGATGTGTTCGCTAGCTAGCCAGGTCAGGGGAGTTAGCATGCTAGCAGGGTTAGCATCTGGAACAGGTCTGAGCAAGTTTGAGGCGTGTGCATTTAATGACTGTTTAAATGCCTGCCTGAAAGAATGTTTTTATATGTTTAACTTGTTCACAGATGTCAGGGCACACGTCACAAAGAGTGTTACTAAAAATAATTCACAAAAAATCAATGTTACCATTGGCTTTTCCTGTTAGGGGGAATAATGCTAATGCTATAATAAGCATTATCCTAGCATTAAATAAAGCTATATAATGCTAGATTAATTGTAATTATGTGACAGAACAAACCCTGCAAGAGTTCACGACAATGTTTCCAGAGAATAATTTTTAAGTCTATTTATAAAACCTGTGTCACGTGGGAGTGTCTCCGATGACAGCTCTCCAAGACAGACTTTATTAATCTCACACTGGAGAAATGTACACGTCACATTTGGCACAGATAGAATCACTCACTAATAATTTAGTCTGTGCAGGATATAATTATGTACAATTAAAAAGTGGCAATAGTAGTGCAGGTTTTTCAGTCCTAGTGCATTAGTGACTTAAAGTGACTTATTGTACAGTCTGACAGCGGTGGGGATGAAGGCCCTGTAGAAGCGCTCAGTCTTCCACTTAAAGAGCTGGGGTAAAAGTTGGGGTAGCTGTTTTCTATGTATTGTAAGTTTTGTAAAAGTAAAGCTTTGAGAACGAAGCAGACCAAACACAACTGGTTTCATGTAATAAAACGTTTTTTGAGGGAGTCCTTAAACACAAAACACTACTTGCATTTAAAGATATTTAGGAGGATGGTCCCAGATTTTAACCGCCCTCTACACTTTATGAACTAATCTCTCTGGTCTCATTTGACGAGCGCGTATCACCAGAATGATTGACAATTGGGAGGACCAATAGTCTTGATACGTGCTCGTTGTTAAGACTAGAGAGTTTTGTTCAAAAAGTGCAAATAAACTCCCCTCGTCTTTCCTCTTGTCTAACCTGTGTTTGTTTGTGCAGAGTGAGCAGGGATGTACTTCCAAGGAACGCGGCGTAGAGGAGAAGATGGCGTCACGGTGGTCATCAACTTCCTGCTCTCCAACGCTCGCCTGGTCCTGGGCGTGGGAGGGGCGGCCATCTTGGGTATTGCAACGCTAGCAGTGAAACGGGTCAGTGCTCTCATCTGGACCACAGCATAGTTTGTATAGAGACGGACAATGCTCACATTCATAATCGTCTTTCCTCTCTCCCCTCTCTCCTCCCTCCTCTGTTTTTCCTCTCCTCTCCTCCTCTCTCCTCTCTCCCCTCTCATCTCTTCTCCCTCTCCTCTCCTCTCTACCCTCTCTCCTCTTCTTCCTCTCTCCTCCTCTTCCTCTCTCCTCTCTCCTCCTGCAGCTGATAGAGCGTGCAGGCCGTGCGGCGGAGGAGGAGAAGGTGGAGCAGAAGATGTCTGAGAGCTGGGAGGAGATCAGCAGAGTTTCCTCCTCTCCCACTCTGCTGCGACGAGGCCTGGAGGACGTGGTGCTGCAGCGAGTGGCCAAACAGCACAGAGGTAAACAACACGCCTGTGAAGCAGCAGGCTCTTAAAGGAGACGTACCTTGCCGGGTTTGGGGCCTTAAACTCCGCGATGAGACAATAGCCGTTTACATTTGTTGTGTACATGTCTTCTCCAGGAGCTCTGTGTGAGCCGCCTCCAGCCTCCAGAGCAGAGGAGCAGGAGGCAGAGCCCAGGTCCAAGAGGCTGCAGCTGTGTGTGCTCACTCTGCAGGTATGTGTGTGTGTGTGTGTGTGTGTGTGTGTCTGTATTCAGTCTGCAGGTACATGTCTGTGTGTCTCTGTCCTGTGTGTGTGTGTGTGTCTGTATTCAGTCTGCAGGTACATGTCTGTGTGTCTCTGTCCTGTGTGTGTGTGTGTGTCTGTATTCAGTCTGCAGGTACATGTCTGTGTGTCTCTGTCCTGTGTGTGTGTGTGTGTCTGTATTCAGTCTGCAGGTACATGTTTGTGTGTCTCTGTCCTGTGTGTGTGTCTGTATTCAGTCTGCAGGTACATGTCTGTGTGTCTCTGTCCTGTGTGTGTGTGTGTGTCTGTATTCAGTCTGCAGGTACATGTCTGTGTGTCTCTGTCCTGTGTGTGTGTGTGTGTCTGTATTCAGTCTGCAGGTACATGTTTGTGTGTCTCTGTCCTGTGTGTGTGTCTGTATTCAGTCTGCAGGTACATGTCTGTGTGTCTCTGTCCTGTGTGTGTGTCTGTATTCAGTCTGCAGGTACATGTCTGTGTGTCTCTGTCCTGTGTGTGTGTCTGTATTCAGTCTGCAGGTACATGTCTGTGTGTCTCTGTCCTGTGTGTGTGTGTGTGTCTGTATTCAGTCTGCAGGTACATGTCTGTGTGTCTCTGTCCTGTGTGTGTGTGTGTGTCTGTATTCAGTCTGCAGGTACATGTCTGTGTGTCTCTGTCCTGTGTGTGTGTGTGTGTCTGTATTCAGTCTGCAGGTACATGTCTGTGTGTCTCTGTCCTGTGTGTGTGTGTGTGTCTGTATTCAGTCTGCAGGTACATGTTTGTGTGTCTCTATCCTGTGTGTGTGTCTGTATTCAGTCTGCAGGTACATGTCTGTGTGTCTCTGTCCTGTGTGTGTGTGTGTGTCTGTATTCAGTCTGCAGGTACATGTCTGTGTGTCTCTGTCCTGTGTGTGTGTGTGTGTCTGTATTCAGTCTGCAGGTACATGTTTGTGTGTCTCTGTCCTGTGTGTGTGTCTGTATTCAGTCTGCAGGTACATGTCTGTGTGTCTCTGTCCTGTGTGTGTGTCTGTATTCAGTCTGCAGGTACATGTCTGTGTGTCTCTGTCCTGTGTGTGTGTCTGTATTCAGTCTGCAGGTACATGTCTGTGTGTCTCTGTCCTGTGTGTGTGTGTGTGTCTGTATTCAGTCTGCAGGTACATGTCTGTGTGTCTCTGTCCTGTGTGTGTGTGTGTGTCTGTATTCAGTCTGCAGGTACATGTCTGTGTGTCTCTGTCCTGTGTGTGTGTGTGTGTCTGTATTCAGTCTGCAGGTACATGTTTGTGTGTCTCTGTCCTGTGTGTGTGTCTGTATTCAGTCTGCAGGTACATGTCTGTGTGTCTCTGTCCTGTGTGTGTGTCTGTATTCAGTCTGCAGGTACATGTCTGTGTGTCTCTGTCCTGTGTGTGTGTCTGTATTCAGTCTGCAGGTACATGTCTGTGTGTCTCTGTCCTGTGTGTGTGTCTGTATTCAGTCTGCAGGTACATGTCTGTGTGTCTCTGTCCTGTGTGTGTGTGTGTGTCTGTATTCAGTCTGCAGGTACATGTCTGTGTGTCTCTGTCCTGTGTGTGTGTGTGTGTCTGTATTCAGTCTGCAGGTACATGTCTGTGTGTCTCTGTCCTGTGTGTGTGTGTGTGTGTGTGTCTGTATTCAGTCTGCAGGTACATGTCTGTGTGTCTCTGTCCTGTGTGTGTGTGTGTGTCTGTATTCAGTCTGCAGGTACATGTCTGTGTGTCTCTGTCCTGTGTGTGTGTCTGTATTCAGTCTGCAGGTACATGTCTGTGTGTCTCTGTCCTGTGTGTGTGTGTGTGTCTGTATTCAGTCTGTAGGTACATGTCTGTGTGTCTCTGTCTTGTGTGTGTGTGTGTGTCTGTATTCAGTCTGCAGGTACATGTCTGTGTGTCTCTGTCCTGTGTGTGTGTGTGTGTGTGTCTGTATTCAGTCTGCAGGTACATGTCTGTGTGTCTCTGTCCTGTGTGTGTGTGTGTGTCTGTATTCAGTCTGCAGGTACATGTCTGTGTGTCTCTGTCCTGTGTGTGTGTGTGTGTCTGTATTCAGTCTGCAGGTACATGTCTGTGTGTCTCTGTCCTGTGTGTGTGTGTGTGTCTGTATTCAGTCTGCAGGTACATGTCTGTGTGTGTCTGTGGTAAGCTCATTCAGATTCAGAGGGGATTGGATTATTTCAGACTAAATCAATTTACAACAGGGAAAAATATGTGATTAATTACGAGTTGATAACATTATTAATGGCAATAAAATGTCAGCCCTCATTATCACACATTCACACGTCTCTGAATAATCTGAAAAACCTCTCTCTCCTCTGTCCTCTCTTCTTTCTCCTCTCTCTCTCCTCTCTCTCCTCTCTCTTTCCCTCCTCTTTCTCCTCTGCATGGCGCCGTAAAGATGGCGCCGTGGCAAGAGCTCTGGTGTGTGTCGTCTTCTCTGTCTGGTGCACACCGGGGTAGTCTTGCACAGTTTTTCCAATGTGGTTTTACTGCAAATGGCAAATAAATGAATCTGAAAATCCTCTCTGGTTCCTCCAGGAGCGGCTGCAGCAGTTCTACCACAGCAGAGCGTGTCTCAGCCCAGAGGAGGTGCACAGGGCGCAGGCTCTGGCTCTGGACATCTGCACCGAGCTCCAGGGGTTCCTCCGCTCCCGACACCCCGACATGCCCCTGGGGGAGATGCACATCGCGGGGTCACTGCTGGACGACCTGCAGGTACCCGACCTGGACCTGGACCTGGACCCACAATAACTCCAATACCACTGCTGCCTCCACAGCATCTATCTGCAGTGTTTAGTCTGAGGGAGCTGAGGCCGAAGACAAAGCTCTGTGGCTTTGACCAATTTATCTAGATTTTATTTATGCCTTCTTGATTTTATTCTGCTTTAACTCCTTTGCACCAAGAGCCAAAGCAATTTCCTAGTTTGTGACTTCCTGTTACTCACATGGCAATAAAAGTATTCTGATTCTGACATAGAACTAGGACCAAGAGGGACTAAAGAAGGTCCTGGTACTGGTTACACAGGGCTGATGGAAACACTCCCAATCAGGGGAGAGTAGGACCAGGAACAAGACCAAGACAAGACCAAGACAAGACCAAGACAAGACCAAGACAAGACCAAGACAAGACCAAGACAAGACCAAGACAAGACCAAGACAAGACCAAGACAAGACCAAGACAAGACCAAGACAAGACCAAGACAAGACCAAGACAAGACCAAGACAAGACCAAGAAGGGTAGGGTAGGGTTGGACCGAGTAGAGTAAGCTGTAAGTAAGTAGGGCTGGTGTAAACGTGACTTCTGAAAGAATAGAGTTCAGTTCCGTAGCTTTAACCCGTCTCGTCGACCTGTAGGTGGTGAGTGCGGACCACGCCTCTCTCCTGGTTCCTCTGCAGCTGGAGCCCTCTCTCTGGAGCCTGGTTCCTGGGGAAGAGACCCTCCTCACGCACCCTCTGCACTGGATGGTCCGCCGGGTCAACCTGGAGTACTTCCCCCGCGGACGGAGCTACTGGGACAGGTAGATCCTGGTGCTCCTGTCTGGGCCTAAGACACTGTTTTACTCTCTGTGTAATTTCTCTCTCTCTGGCCTCTCTCTCTGGCCTCTCTCTCTGGTCTCTCTCTCTCTGGCCTCTCTCTCTCTGGCCCCTCTCTCTCTGGCCTCTCTCTCTGGTCTCTCTCTCTCTGGCCTCTCTCTCTCTGGCCCCTCTCTCTCTGGCCCCTCTCTCTCTGGCCTCTCTCTCTGGTCTCTCTCTCTGGTCTCTCTCTCTCTCTCTCTGGCCCCTCTGTCTCTCTGGCCCCTCTCTCTGGTCTCTCTCTCTGGTCTCTCTCTCTCTGGCCTCTCTCTCTCTGGCCTCTCTCTCTCTGGCCCCTCTCTCTCTGGTCTCTCTCTGGCCTCTCTCTCTCTGGCCCCTCTCTCTCTGGCCTCTCTCTCTCTGGCCTCTCTCTCTCTGGTCTCTCTCTTTGGTCTCTCTCTCTCTGGCCCCTCTCTCTCTGGCCCCTCTCTCTCTGGCCTCTCTCTCTCTGGCCCCTCTCTCTGGCCTCTCTCTCTCTGGCCTCTCTCTCTCTGGCCTCTCTCTCTCTGGCCTCTCTCTCTCTGGCCTCTCTCTCTCTGGTCTCTCTCTCTCTGGTCCCTCTCTCTCTGGCCCCTCTCTCTGGCCTCTCTCTCTGGCCTCTCTCTCTCTGGCCTCTCTCTCTCTGGCCTCTCTCTCTCTGGCCTCTCTCTCTCTGGCCTCTCTCTCTCTGGCCTCTCTCTCTCTGGCCTCTCTCTCTGGCCTCTCTTTCTCTGGCCTCTCTTTCTCTGGCCTCTCTCTCTCTGGCCTCTCTCTCTCTGGCCCCTCTCTCTCTGGCCTCTCTGTGTTATTTATGATATTGTTTTATTTTTATTTGTATATGGATAACTGGTATATTATTGTTTTTGTTATTATGTTTTTTTTTGTGTACATATAAAGCTGGCAAACTTGTATATATATAAATGTGTTTTATCTCTGGGGCTTGGATGAGTGGAGGAGGGCGTGGCTCTCACTGTGTTCTCTGGCCGCAGACACCTGGTGGGAGGGTATCTGTCGTCCGAGGCGCTGGTGACCATGTTCAGCAAGTGTGTGATGGAGACCATGAACTGGCCGTCCATCAGCAGCACCATGGACTGTACGGTCAGACCAGTGCTGGGACCAGACCTGAGGCTGCAGATCGAGTGAGTGCATTTACACAGACTGGGAATAACTTTATAATGCGATTCTCTTTCTGTGGTCTCTCTCTGGTCTCTCTCTCTCTCTGTGGTCTCTCTGTGGTCTCTCTGTGGTCTCTCTCTGGTCTCTCTCTCTGGTCTCTCTCTCTGGTCTCTCTCTCTGGTCTCTCTCTGTGGTCTCTCTGTGGTCTCTCTGTGGTCTCTCTGTGGTCTCTCTCTCTGGTCTCTCTCTCTGGTCTCTCTCTCTCTGGTCTCTCTCTGGTCTCTCTCTCTCTGGTCTCTCTCATTCATCATCCACATCATTTTGTTTCCACATCTGTCATGTATCCAGGGTGTCCTCTGACTGGGACTCTCCGCTGCTGATCTCCATGCTCCCTGTGGTGCGAGAGGCAGACGTCTCTCTCTGTGCCCAGCCCGCTCTCACCGCTCCCTGGGGTCACGCCTGGTGCCTGGCCCTGTACCCCTGGGAGACCCGGCGGCTGACCCAGCTGGACCAGACCGACTCCGGCTGCCGCAGACTCTTACTCAAGACCCTCAAAGCCGCCTGCAGACTCAACCCTGCTCTGCGTCCGCTACCGTCCGCCGCGCTAGCTAACCTGCTCCTCCACCTGAGCGAGAGCCAGACGGACTGGAGCGAGGCCAGTCTGGAGGCGCGCTTTCGTCAGTGCATGGAGGAGCTGATCGGGTTTCTGGAGCAAGGCGCGCTGAATAGTTACTTCAAACCTGGCGTGAACCTTCTGAGCGGTCTGACCGAGGACCAGGTGGACCAGGTGGGCTTCATGCTCTACTGCGCGGTCACAGAGCCCGAGATCCTGCTCATGTGACGAGCACAAACCACCAGGATTTACCATCGAGGGCTGCACAATATTGTTCAAAACCAGTTCTAACAAAAGCCATGAGGAGGTGTTAGTCTCCTCCGTGTCCTCGAGTCATTCAGCCTTAAAGATAATGTTTTAAAAGTTTAAGCCAAGACAAAAGACATGCCTGGCTGCGTTCAAACCTCCAGTATAAAGCTAGTTTGAACTAAATGTGATTAAACTTTTCTGATGTTCTTTGTTTGCTTTAAAAAAAACAACAAATCTCCGGGAAACAAGCGCCTGAATTTTCCAATTTTTCCAGTAATTGTCAATGTGATTTTGTGGTTGAACAAGTCTAAACTGCACATATTCAAATATTATACCGTTATTCCATCCTAGTGCTCTCCTCAGATCGAAATGACCGTCGGGAGCTGGTCAAGTTAGAAAAATCAACAAAATTAATCTAAAAAAAAATTATTTACGGCATTTTTAATTCACCGGTGTTCTCCTCAGGTCAAAATGACTCACAAGAATTAACCAGGAAAGTCCCACTGAGTCCTGGCCCCAGAGGAGCAGAAACCGGAGCACCTGGAGGACGCCTACGCAGCTGCCCAGTTTGTTTTGAATGTTTGTCAGAATGAAGAAATATATTTGTAGATACCTGTGTTTTCTTATTTTGTAAATGATGAATAGGTTTTGATTTATACATTGTCTCATACTGAAGGGTGTTCCACAGGTTTGCCACTCGGCCTCTGCCGTGTTCACGACTTGTCATGAAATGGAACGAACGACCTTTTTGCCCACGTTTCTTCATGCAGAGTATAATATTGTGCAGCCCGACTTGGTTTGAACCATTTTCCGCTGCTTGCTGCTCCTTCTTTCAGTGAAAGAAACCTGCGATGATAGAGTCTGTGGTGGTGTGACCTCCGACTGCAGGAAACAGGCTTTTTTTGTAGTAAACCAGTTCGTTGCCAAAATCAGATATTTCAGACGACGCTCGAATCTTCTTCAGAAGTCGTAAAAACCTGACTTTCATACGTTTTAGTATCTGGGAGCTGTGTGCTGCTGCGAAGCCTTATTCATGATGTTTTACTCAAACTGCAGATGCAATAAATACTGTTTTTCATGTTTTTGTTTAACCTGCTTTCATCGCTTTGAGAAAGTGTTGTAAACGTAGTTTCTTTTGAACGGGAAATGCAATAAACTTTGATTCTATTTTACTTTGTCTTGTTATTTGTTGAGTCTGAGATAAAAACCAATTTCAGATGATCCTACAAACTATTCAACTCTTGTGGGTCTTTGAGGCTTCTTTCAGCAGATGGTTTGACAGAGACTGGGAGACCAGAGAGCGGAAGAATAAAACTGATTCAGATTATTTTTGCAATTGATCTCATTCCTCTACGATAAACACTAAAACACCCACAGCTTTGGAGAAGATGTTTTCACACACACACAGACACGCACACACACAGACAGATGTTGGGTGTTGTGTTGTTGTGAAAGCTAGTTTTGAGCTGATCCGGAAGCACAGGAGTGAGGTGAGCTGTGGGAACCTGGCGTCACACTTTCACAGAGAAAACCACTTCCGGAACAAAACCAGCTCTGATTTACAACACGAGCCCGAAGCCGGTGCCACAGACCCCCCTCTGCAGCCCCCCCTCTACAGCCCCCCTTCTGCAGCCCCCCCTCTGCAGCCCCCTTTCTGCAGCCCCCCCTCTGCAGAACCCCCTCTGCAGACTACAAACCCTGCTCTCTCAGAGGTAAGAAGACCATGGGGCTGTTTCCAAATCACATTATTCTAAATCACAGACCATGCAAAGGATCCACTGATAATAATAATAATAATAATAAACAATGATAGGTCCTCAGGGTTCAACATTTCTATATTCTTTTAGCTAGAGACCAGAGAGAGACCAGAGAGAGACCAGAGAGAGACCAGAGAGAGACCAGAGAGAGACCAGAGAGAGAGACCAGAGAGACCAGAGAGAGAGACCAGAGAGAGACCTGGGAGAGAGACCAGAGAGAGACCAGAGAGAGACCAGAGAGAGACCAGAGAGACCAGAGACAGAGACCAGAGAGAGAGACCAGAGAGAGACCAGAGAGAGACCAGAGAGAGACCAGAGAGAGAGACCAGAGAGAGACCAGAGAGAGACCAGAGAGAGACCAGAGAGAGAGACCAGAGAGAGAGACCAGAGAGAGAGACCAGAGAGAGACCAGAGAGAGAGAGAGAGACCAGAGAGAGACCAGAGAGAGACCAGAGAGAGAGAGACCAGAGAGAGACCAGAGAGAGTGATCCCCCTCTCCCTCTGGTGTCTTTGTTTGAGTAATAAATAAGTAGTCCTCTTTCCTTGTCTTTATTGCTTCGTGAACCACTCTTTTCTGATACTGTATTTTTTTTAATATTGAGGAAGGAAAACTCAACCTCCTGAAAACTGAAACTGAGAAATGAAAAAGGAGAGAATCCAAGACACATTGTTCTCTCTTCCTTTGAGCCGGATTTGAAGTTTAATATGTACAATTGTCATCATTGTTCCTCAAACGCTCTTCACTTCCTGCAAAAACAGAGACCAGAGAGAGAGACCAGAGAGAGACCAGAGAGAGACCAGAGAGAGAGACCAGAGAGAGAGACCAGAGAGAGACCAGAGAGAGAGAGAGAGACCAGAGAGAGAGAGAGAGACCAGAGAGAGACCAGAGAGAGACCAGAGAGAGAGACCAGAGAGAGAGACCAGAGAGAGACCAGAGAGAGACCAGAGAGAGAGACCAGAGAGAGAGACCAGAGAGAGAGAGAGAGACCAGAGAGAGACCAGAGAGAGACCAGAGAGAGACCAGAGAGAGAGAGAGAGAGACCAGAGAGAGAGAGAGAGACCAGAGAGAGACCAGAGAGAGACCAGAGAGAGAGACCAGAGAGAGAGACCAGAGAGAGACCAGAGAGAGACCAGAGAGAGAGACCAGAGAGAGAGACCAGAGAGAGAGAGAGAGACCAGAGAGAGACCAGAGAGAGACCAGAGAGAGACCAGAGAGAGAGACTAGAGAGAGAGACCAGAGAGAGACCAGAGAGAGACCAGAGAGAGACCAGAGAGAGACCAGATAGTGAGACCAGAGAGAGACCAGAGAGAGACCAGAGAGAGAGACCAGAGAGAGACCTGGGAGAGAGACCAGAGAGAGACCAGAGAGAGACCAGAGAGAGACCAGAGAGAGAGAGACCAGAGAGAGAGACCAGAGAGAGACCAGAGAGAGACCAGAGAGAGACCAGAGAGAGACCAGAGAGAGACCAGAGAGAGACCAGAGAGAGAGACCAGAGAGAGAGACCAGAGAGAGACCTGGGAGAGAGACCAGAGAGAGACCAGAGAGAGACCAGAGAGAGAGACTAGAGAGAGAGACCAGAGAGAGACCAGAGAGAGACCAGAGAGAGAGACCAGAGAGAGACCAGAGAGAGAGACCAGAGAGAGACCAGAGAGAGACCAGAGAGAGAGACCAGAGAGAGACCAGAGAGACCAGAGAGAGACCAGAGAGAGAGACTAGAGAGAGAGACCAGAGAGAGACCAGAGAGAGACCAGAGAGAGAGACCAGAGAGAGACCAGAGCGAGACCAGAGAGAGAGACCAGAGAGAGAGACCAGAGAGAGACCTGGGAGAGACCAGAGAGAGACCTCGGAGAGAGACCAGAGAGAGACCAGAGAGAGACCAGAGAGAGACCAGAGAGAGACCAGAGAGAGACCAGAGAGAGACCTCGGAGAGAGACCACAGTTTCCTGATTATAGGACGGATCTAAAGAGGTTGTAATGGGAAAAAAAAACAGTTTCGCAGAATATGTTTCCTTTAATTTCATCTGAAGTTTCTTGGAAAGTTTCCTCAAAACAGTGAAATTATCTGAGTCACATGAGCAAAGACGTCTTTCTTAGAACCAAAAAGTAAACTCATTTCAACTCATTTCAGTCCTGACGATGATTCCATTTAGATTTTTGTAAAGATTAGAACTTCAAATATAAGTAAAGTTTGTAAATGTGGAACAACTGTCGATGGTTCTAGAAGATTCTAAAAGCCGAGACTCAAACACAAAAGTCCAATTGGCTCAAACTTCACCTTGAACTCTTGGTTTTCCGTCGAGAGAAAGAGAGAGAAGTGTCTTCATTCGTCAGGTTCATATCTGTAAAAACACACATAGTATGTTTGTTAGAATTAGGACCAGGACCATGGCATTAGTCCTGGTCTCAGGTCTCTGCTTCCTGGTGTTCAGAGACTTTAAAGAACACATCTGTGATATGGTAGTGCTCCCTGCTGGGACTCTGAGGAGTTTCTGGCCTCGCTCTCTCTGGTGTCTCTCTCTCTGGCCTCTCTCTCTGATCTCTCTCTCTCTGGTCTCTCTCTCTCTGGCCTCTCTCTCTGATCTCTCTCTCTGATCTCTCTCTCTCTGGTCTCTCTCTCTCTGGTCTCTCTCTCTGGTCTCTCTATCTGATCTCTCTATCTGATCTCTCTCTCTCTGGTCTCTCTCTCTGGTCTCTCTCTGATCTCTCTCTCTCTGGTCTCTCTCTCTGGTCTCTCTCTCTGGTCCCTCTCTCTGGTCCCTCTCTCTGGTCTCTCTCTCTGGTCTCTCTCTGGCCTCTCTCTCTGGTCTCTCTCTCTGGTCTCTCTCTCTGGTCTCTCTCTCTGGTCTCTCTCTCTGGTCTCTCTCTCTGATCTCTCTATCTGATCTCTCTATCTGATCTCTCTCTCTCTGGTCTCTCTCTCTGGTCTCTCTCTGATCTCTCTCTCTCTGGTCTCTCTCTCTGGTCTCTCTCTCTGGTCCCTCTCTCTGGTCCCTCTCTCTGGTCCCTCTCTCTGGTCTCTCTCTCTGGTCTCTCTCTGGTCTCTCTCTCTGGTCTCTCTCTCTGGTCTCTCTCTCTGGTCTCTCTCTCTGGTCTCTCTCTCTGGTCTCTCTCTCTGGGCTCTCTCTCTGGTCTCTCTCTCTGGTCTCTCTCTCTGGTCTCTCTCTCTGGTCTCTCTCTCTGACCTCTCTCTCTGGTCTCTCTCTCTGGTCTCTCTCTCTGGTCTCTCTCTCTGGTCTCTCTCTCTGGTCTCTCTCTCTGTTCTCTCTCTCTCTGGTCTCTCTCTCTGGTCTCTCTCTCTGGGTCTCTCTCTGGTCTCTCTCTCTGGTCTCTCTCTCTGGTCTCTCTCTGGTCTCTCTCTCTGGTCTCTCTCACTGGCCTCTCTCTGGCCTCTCTCTCTGGCCTCTCTCTCTGGTCTCTCTCTCTGGCCTCTCTCTCTGGCCTCTCTCTCTGGCCTCTCTCTCTGGTCTCTCTCTCTGGTCTCTCTCTCTGGTCTCTCTCTCTGGTCTCTCTCTCTGGTCTCTCTCTCTGGTCTCTCTCTCTCGTCTCTCTCTCTGGTCTCTCTCTCTCTGGTCTCTCTCTCTGGTCTCTCTATCTGGTCTCTCTATCTGGTCTCTCTCTCTGGTCTCTCTCTGGTCTCTCTCTGGTCTCTCTCTCTGGTCCCTCTCTCTGGCCCCTCTCTCTGGTCTCTCTCCCTGGTCTCTCTCTCTGGTCTCTCTCTCTGGTCTCTCTCTCTGGTCTCTCTCCCTGGTCTCTCTCTCTGGTCTGTCTCTCTGGTCTGTCTCTCTGATCTCTCTCTCTCTGGTCTCTCTCTCTCTGGTCTCTCTCTCTCTGGTCTCTCTCTGTGGCCTCTCTCTGGCCTCTCTCTATGGTCTCTCTCTATGGTCTCTCTCTCTGGTCTCTCTCTCTGATCTCTCTCTCTGGTCTCTCTTTCTGGTCTCTCTCTCTGGTCTCTCTCTGGTCTCTCTCTCTGGTCTCTCTCTCTGGTCTCTCTCTGGTCTCTCTCTCTCTCTGGTCTCTCTCTGGTCTCTCTCTGTGGTCTCTCTCTCTGGTCTCTCTCTGTGGTCTGTCTCTCTGGTCTGTCTCTCTGATCTCTCTCTCTGGCCTCTCTCTCTGGTCTCTCTCTCTGATCTCTCTCTCTCTGGTCTCTCTCTGTGGCCTCTCTCTGGCCTCTCTCTATGGTCTCTCTCTATGGTCTCTCTCTCTGGTCTCTCTCTCTGATCTCTCTCTCTGGTCTCTCTCTCTGGTCTCTCTCTCTCTGGTCTCTCTTTCTGGTCTCTCTCTCTGGTCTCTCTCTGGTCTCTCTCTCTGGTCTCTCTCTCTGGTCTCTCTCTCTGGCCTCTCTCTCTGGTCTCTCTCTCTCTGGTCTCTCTCTGGTCTCTCTCTGTGGTCTCTCTCTCTGGTCTCTCTCTGTGGTCTCTCTCTCTGGTCTCTCTCTCTGGCCTCTCTCTCTGGTCTCTCTCTCTGGTCTCTCTCTCTGGTCTCTCTCTCTGGTCTCTCTCTCTGGTCTCTCTCTGGTCTCTCTCTCTGGCCTATCTGGTCTCTCTCTCTCTGGTCTCTCTCTCTGATCTCTCTCTCTCTGGTCTCTCTCTCTGGTCTCTCTCTCTGGCCTCTCTCTCTGGCCTCTCTCTCTGGTCTCTCTCTCTCTGGTCTCTCTCTCTGGCCTCTCTCTCTGGTCTCTCTCTCTGGTCTCTCTCTCTGGCCTCTCTCTCTGGCCTCTCTCTCTGGTCTCTCTCTCTGGTCTCTCTCTCTGGTCTCTCTCTCTGGTCTCTCTCTCTGGTCTCTCTCTCTCTGGTCTCTCTCTCTGGTCTATCTCTCTGGTCTATCTCTCTGGTCTCTCTCTCTGGTCTCTCTCTCTGGTCTCTCTCTCTGGTCTCTCTCTCTGGTCTCTCTCTCTCTGGTCTCTCTCTCTCTGGTCTCTCTCTCTGGTCTCTCTCTCTGGTCTCTCTCTCTCTGGTCTCTCTCTCTGGTCTCTCTCTCTGGTCTCTCTCTCTGGTCTCTCTCTCTGTTACCGTTGCAGATGTTTCCGGAGCTCCTTGATCTGCTCGTTCTTCTTGGTCAGAATCTCCTTCATGTTGCGATAAGCCGCAGTCTGTTGGAACTTCTTGTCCAACTCCTGAATCAGACACATCAGAGTCAGACACAATCTACAAGCTTCAAAAAGGACAAAAACTCCTCTAAAAACATACAAATACCAGACGCCTGGACCAGATGGAACTGGTCGATGCAGTGGTTTCATCGTCTCTACATCGACTACATCAAGTGAAAGTTCATTTTTCTCTCTCTCTGTCTCTCTCTGCTCTCTCTCTCTATCTCTCTCTTTCAATCTAAAATGAGTCATGAACAATGTATATTAGCCATAATAGTAGACTTGAATTAGACTAGAGGTGGACTAGAGGTAGACTTGAGGTGGACTAGAGGTGGACTTGAAGTAGACTTGAGACTTGAGGTAGACTAGAGGTGGACTTGAGGTGGACTTGAGGTAGACTAGAGGTGGACTAGAGGTGGACTTGAAGTAGACTAGAGGTAGACTTGAAGTAGACTAGAGGTGGACTTGAAGTAGACTAGAGGTAGACTTGAAGTAGACTAGAGGTGGACTTGAGGTGGACTAGAGGTAGACTAGAGTGAAAAGGCGGTATATAAATAAAAACTTACTTACTTACTTACTTACTAGAGGTAGACTAGAGGTGGACTTGAGGTGGACTAGAGGTGGACTAGAGGTAGACTAGAGGTGGACTTGAGGTAGACTAGAGGTGGACTTGAGGTGGACTAGAGGTGGACTAGAGGTAGACTAGAGGTGGACTTGAGGTAGACTAGAGGTGGACTTGAGGTGGACTAGAGGTAGACTAGAGGTAGACTAGAGGTGGACTTGAGGTGGACTTGAGGTGGACTTGAGGTAGACTAGAGGTAGACTAGAGGTGGACTAGAGGTAGACTAGAGGTAGACTAGATGTAGACTAGAGGTGGACTTGAAGTAGACTAGAGGTAGACTTGAAGTAGACTAGATGTAGACTAGAGGTGGACTTGAAGTAGACTAGAGGTAGACTTGAAGTAGACTAGAGGTAGACTAGAGGTGGACTAGAGGTGGACTTGAGGTGGACTAGAGGTGGACTTGAGGTGGACTAGAGGTGGACTTGAGGTAGACTAGAGGTAGACTAGAGGTGGACTAGAGGTAGACTAGAGGTAGACTAGATGTAGACTAGAGGTGGACTTGAAGTAGACTAGAGGTAGACTTGAAGTAGACTAGAGGTAGACTTGAAGTAGACTAGAGGTAGACTAGAGGTGGACTTGAAGTAGACTAGAGGTAGACTTGAAGTAGACTAGAGGTAGACTTGAAGTAGACTAGAGGTAGACTAGAGGTGGACTAGAGGTGGACTTGAGGTAGACTAGAGGTAGACTAGAGGTAAAACTTCTAATAGAATTGATATCAATTCAGTGGCTTCATATATCTCAAAGAGAGACTTGGAATTGTTTAATGATGAAATAGAGCAAATTCAATGGAATCAAATAACTTGTGGCAAAGACTGCCAATTAGCAAGTAATGACTTCATGATAACCTTTAATGATCTCCTATCAAAATACTCCAAAGAATCATCTAGAAAAATCAAAAGTAAAATACCTCTTCCCTGGATGAATGAGTCTGTGTGGAATTTAATGAAATTAAGATGCAGCACTGAAAAAATCATTGAAAACTGGCCTTTTGACAGACTCACTTCTGTATAAGGAGCTCAGAAACAAAGTCACCACACTGTTACGAAGAACTAAAGCTAATTTTTTTATGACCTTAATTGAACAAGCAAAAGGAAATACTAAAAGACTTTGGCAAACCATTGATAAAGTAACTGGACGGAAGAGTTTTAAGGGTCATAAATTAGAAATTAATATTAATGGAAAACCAGAAACTGATGCTCAAATTGTGGCGAATCATTTTAACAATTACTTCATACAATCAGTCAAAGAACTGGGAATCCAAAACAGAGATACAAATAATTATGTACAAGTATCTGATAATATTTCATATGAACAAAATATGCTAAATTTTAAAATGATAAATGAATTTGAAATAAATAAAATATTGCAATCCTTGACAAATTCTAAAAGTAAAGATAACTGGGGAATGGACAACGCTCTTCTCAAAGAACATAAAGACAATTTTGTAACTCCTATTACATACCTGACAAATAAATCAATAGAAGAGAGCTTTTAAAACTGCAGTAATCACTCCAGTATTCAAATCAGGGGACAAACATGAGGTCTGCAATTACAGGCCAATTAGCATACTTCCTGTTGTCTCAAAAATTACAGAGAAAGTAATTGCGGCGCAATTAAAAGAACACCTAAAAAAAAATAATATGCTCCATCCGATGCAATTTGGATATAGAAAACACCATTCCACCGAAACTGCATGTCGTTACTTTATTGAGGTAGTGAAGGCAAAGCTGGACAAGGGCGGGGTCGTGGGCGCCGTGTTTTTGGACCTACGCAAGGCATTTGACACGGTCAACCACTCTGTGCTAATGAGGAAGCTGAGCAATTACAATCTGTCTCCAAGAGCACTACAGTGGATAGAATCATACCTCAGTGACCGTGTCCAGTGTGTAAGGGTCAAAAGTAAGCTATCAACATCTAAGGCTAATGACATGGGTGTCCCACAAGGCTCTGTTCTTGGGCCATTGCTGTTTGCGCTTTACATAAATGATCTCCCTTTGGTGTGCGGTGACATAGACATACAGATGTATGCAGACGATACTGTAGTTTACGTGCATGGAAGTGATGCAACCAGTGTAGCCAATAAACTAACCAATGTCATGGGAAACATCTCAAACTGGCTTTCCTCTGCCTCGCTCACACTTAATGTAAATAAAACAGTAGCGATGTATTTTACCAAAACTCAAAAACTGAAGTCCTCCTTCCCATACATTTATGTAAACCAGAGTCAAATAAAAGTAGTGAAGGAATTTAAATATCTAGGCCTTGTTTTGGATTCAACGTTTAGTTTTAAAAAACATGTTAAGAAAATTGGCAACACAGTAAAATACAGTTTGTCTGTTTTTAAACATATTAGGAATACACTGACTCACGATGCGGCAAAAATTTATTTGGAGGCAATGATAATTCCACATATTAATTACTGTATTTCTTGTTGGTCACAGACGAGTGACACAACAATAAAACCTCTAAAATCTCTATATAATCAAGCTATTAAAGTGCTAGACAAAAAGCCATTGAGATACCATCACTGTCTGATCCTTAGAAAATACAGCATGTTTAACTTTGATAATTTAATTGTGTACGCAAATGTACGATTAGTTTTTAAAACTTTGAATAATACTGCACCTCCACCGCTGAAAACATTTGTCCAGCTCTGTTCTGAGCAGATAACTAGGAGCTCCAGGTCTACAAGTCGTAATGACTGTAGACTGCCTAAACGTAGCTCAGCCTTTGCGCAGACATCCTTCTCATTCAAAGGCATCAAAGAATGGAACAAACTCCCACAGAGTCTGAAACTTTCCTTAGACCTGAAAGATTTCTCTCGTAATAAAAAAAAAGTGCTGTTGGTGAACCAGTCATGTCAGCACTGATAATTGTAAATGTAAATATGACCGTTAGTGATGTTTTATGTAGTAATTTTAGCATGAATTTATGTGGACTGATGGATGTAACGGGTGAATGTATGAATTAATATTTGTATTTGAGTGGTGAAATATATTTTATATTGTACATGTTGTGACTCACCTGCTCAGGGACTACAGATGGAAACTAGCTCAAGCTAAATCTGGTGCAAAGCATCTTTAATTAATGTATTTGCACATTGTCCCTGTTGAAATAAATTAATAAACTAAAAAACTAAACTAACTAACTTGAGGTAGACTTGAAGTAGACTAGAGGTAGACTAGAGGTGGACTAGAGGTGGACTAGAGGTAGACTAGAGGTAGACTAGAGGTGGACTAGAGGTGGACTAGAGGTGGACTAGAGGTGGACTTGAGGTAGACTAGAGGTAGACTAGATGTAGACTAGAGGTGGATTTGAAGTAGACTAGAGGTAGACTAGAGGTGGACTAGAGGTGGACTAGAGGTAGACTAGAGGTAGACTAGAGGTAGACTAGAGGTGGACTAGAGGTGGACCAGAGGTAGACTAGAGGTGGACTTGAAGTAGACTACATGGCGGTCTGACCTTCTCTGCCAGACTGAGCTGCTCCTGGACCTTCAGCAGGTCGTGTTTAGCAGAGACCAGGTTTTCCTGCAGGTCTCTGTTGGAGGCGGCGTTGGCGCTCAGCGATTTCTCAAAGTCGTCTTTCAGAGCGGCCACAGTGTCCTCCAGAGAACTGACCTCCTGAGAGCGAGCCAACAACTACACACATACACACACACACAGATAGACACACACACAAAAACACAAACACAGAGAGACAAAGACCCACAAACACACACACAGAGACACACGCACAGACACAGACACACACAGAGACACACACACAGACACACACACAGATAGATAGACACACGCACACAGAGACAGAGAGACATAGAGACAAAGACCCACGCACACACAGAGACACACGCACAGACACACACAGAGACACACACACACAGATAGATAGACACACGCACACAGAGACAGAGAGACATAGAGACAAAGACCCACGCACACACAGAGACACACGCACAGACACACACAGACACAGATAGATAGACACACGCACACAGAGACAGAGAGACATAGAGACAAAGACCCACGCACACACAGAGACACACGCACAGACACACACAGACACAGATAGATAGACACACGCACACAGAGACAGAGAGACATAGAGACAAAGACCCACGCACACACAGAGACACACGCACAGACACACACAGAGACACACACACACAGATAGATAGACACACGCACACAGAGACAGAGAGACATAGAGACAAAGACCCACACACACACCCACAGAGACACACACGCACACAGAGACACACAGACACACACGCACACAGACACACACACAGACACACACACAGGCACACGCGCACACAGACACACACACCATCAGACTGGGGTCAGGACTTCTTTAATGATCAAATAGTATTCTACAACTCTTCTATGTTTCACTACAGTCTGTGCAGGGGTGTCCAAACCATGGCCCGGGGGCAGATTGTGGTCCTAAATCGGCACGTTCTTGGCCCGGCCTGTGAATAACATTATATATGGATAATCAGCCTACGTCACTCCATGCTAAACTTGCACCACCTTTTTTTCTGTCTTGCTGGCTTTGAACCCTTCGTAAAATTGTAAAAGAAAAAACTAAAAATGTATGTCTGTATGCTGTACAGTGAAGGATAAAGTTTGGACACCCCTGGTTTCCTGTCCTCGGACCGGGTCACAGACAGAGGAATGTGTGAGTGATGATGAAACCAAACACACTCTACCATCTCTCAGCAACACTCGGTACATACCACAGACGGAGCCGCAACGGTTGCAAATGAACAAAAAGACAACAACACAAATCAATAGAAAGCAGAAATCAACAACTTCACACAGTGGAAGGAATGAGTGAGATTGGTCTGAAAAAAGGTCATTAATAATCAGTAAAAATGAGGAGGTAGATCACCGTTTGCTCTCCCTGAACCTTCTGGAAGTCTCTGAGAGCTCGTTCAGCTTTGGTCTTCTCGTCCAGCGCTCCCATGGCCTGAAGGTTTAACACGGAGACACGATTAAAGCTCAGGTACCTATCTTTACAGCACAAACAAGCATCATTCAGACTGAAATGTGAAAAACAGGGAACCACCCTCTCTCAAAACATACCCTTTTCTAATAACTAATAGCCAAAATAGACGCCTCAGTATACATAGAAAAGAAGGTTAGAGGCCTCAGTATACATTAAAATAGGGTTCGAGGCCTCAGTATACATTAAAATAGGGTTAGACCTCAGTATACATAGAAATAGGGTTAGAGGCCTCAGTATACATTAAAATAGGGTTAGAAGCCTCAGTATACATAGAAATAGGGTTAGAGGCCTCAGTATACATAGAAAAGAGGGTTAGAGGCCTCAGTATACATTAAAATAGGGTTAGAGGCCTCAGTATACATAGAAAAGAGGGTTAGAGACCTCAGTATACATAGAAAGTGGTCATTATGTAAGAAATTGAACAGAGACAAAGAATAAAATGGGTTCGAGGCGTAAACTCTTTAATATACTGTGATTCTTAAGGTTTCTCACCATCATCTGTACTTCTTTGCAGGTTTTCCCAACGTTTTGTCCTTCATCTAAAGGACTTCTTCATTTTCCCCTGAAGAAGTCCATTAGATGAAGGATGAAACGTCGGGAAAACCTGCTAAGAAGTACAAATGAAACTTGTGATTCTTTAGATATGAATGCTTCTGTCCCTGCTTCACACATTCAGTTGTTTTGCTAAGCTCTTAATTGGTTATTATTATTATTATTATTATGACTGAAGCCTTCTCATGTGGATTAAGTTATCTGTTAATCCATGAGGGTTAATGAGTTACCGATACCTGTGTCTCTAAGGTCCGTAACCTGGCCTTCATCCTGTCGTTTTCCTCTTGTAGTCTGGAAATCTCCTGAACACAAATCAAAACAAAATCAAAGTGGATTCAGTTTTTACGGCCGCAGTAAGACACGACATGAAAGTACAGGGACCTTGTTGAGGAGCTCGGACACGCCGCCCTCGTTCAGCGGAGCCAACTTGAGTTTGTTTGACTCTTGGTTGGACTGAAAGGAGAAGAAATGAGAAGGAATAAAAGTGTGTTCAGATTCAGTTTATTTGCCATTTGCAGTAAAACCACATTGGAATACATGGGCAAGGCCCCAGTGTGCAGCAGACAAGTATATCTATGGTCTCAATCTGGTCTCTCTCTCTGGTCTCTCTCTGGTCTCTCTCTCTCTGGTCTCTCTCTCTCTGGTCTCTCTCTCTCTGGTCTCTCTCTCACTGGTCTCTCTCTCACTGGTCTCTCTCTCTGGTCTCTCTCTCTCTCTGGTCTCTCTCTCTCTCTGATGTCACTGAACCACAGTCCAACACCAACAAGCAAACTATCAACTCTGCAGAAATAAAAATTCAGCAGAATCTTAGAGTTTGTGGTGAAATCTCTAAGTTTCCGCAGGAAGAAGAAACCCAGACGAGTTTCTTAACGATCAGACTTTTTTGTCCCATTTCAGTTCATTAGACAGAGATTAATCCAGAACCCTTTACAACTGTTTCAACTCAGACCACAAGTCTTTTCTCCTTGTGTTTGTTTAATCTTGCGTTTCAAAGTGTCACGAATGAGTTGTAGAATAACACAGAGACAAAGGAGAGTGTCTGGTTGCTCAGTTGATTCTGCTGTGGTTAGCGGTTAGCATGCACTCGTCCCGACTGCTCCTGAGTCACACACATCAAGCTAATGTCGATGAAATATAAAACTGTTTTGGTGAGAGGAGGTTCTGGAGTTCCGTGCGGGTTCCGTCACTTTCGCACACTCACCTTGTCGGCCGTTTTGAAGTCGGTCTTCTCAAATTCTGCCACTTGTTCCAACAGCTCCCTGCGAGGAGAGAGCGGAATGTCACTTGTTTCAACTCAATGTATTTGTGTAGAGCCTTAAATCTCTGGTCTCTCTCTGGCCCCTCTCTCTGGTCTCTCTCTCTGGTATCTCTCTCTGGTCTCTCTCTCTGGCCCCTCTCTCTGGCCCCTCTCTCTGGCCCCTCTCTCTGGCCCCTCTCTCTGGCCCCTCTCTCTGGCCCCTCTCTCTGGTCTCTCTCTCTGGTCTCTCTCTCTGGTCTCTCTCTCTGGTCTCTCTCTCTGGTCTCTCTCTCTGGTCTCTCTCTCTGGTCTCTCTCTCTGGTCTCTCTCTCCCATGGTCCTAGTTTGGGACTTCCTGTTACAACGGCAATAGTAATAATTCTGATTCTAGACCGTGTTACTTATATATATATATATTATATATATATATATATATACATACAGTGCCTTGCGAAAGTATTCGGCCCCCTTGAACCGTTCAACATTTCGCCACATTTCAGGCTTTAAACATAAAGATATCAAAATTATTTTTTTTGTCAAGAATCAACAACAAGTGGGACACAATCGTGAAGTGGAAACGAAATGTAAATTGGATAAAACGAAATTTATTGGATAATTTAAACTTTTTTAACAAATAAAAAACTGAAAAGTGGGGCGTGCAATATTATTCGGCCCCTTGCGCTAATACTTTGTAGCGCCACCTTTTGCTGCAATTACAGCTGCAAGTCGCTTGGGGTATGTCTCTATCAGTTTTGCACATCAAGAGACTGGAATTCTTGCCCATTCTTCCTTGCAAAACAGCTGGAGCTCAGTGAGGTTGGATGGAGAGCGTTTGTGAACAGCAGTCTTCAACTCTTTCCACAGATTCTCGATTGGATTCAGGTCTGGACTTTGACTTGGCCATTCTAACACCTGGATACGTCTATTTGTGAACCATTCCATTGTAGATTTGGCTTTATGTTTTGGATCATTGTCCTGTTGGAAGATAAATCTCCGTCCCAGTCTCAGGTCTTTTGCAGACTCCAACAGGTTTTCTTCCAGAATGGTCCTGTATTTGGCTCCATCCATCTTCCCATCAATTTTAGCCATCTTCCCTGTCCCTGCTGAAGAAAAGCAGGCCCAAAGCATGATGCTGCCACCACCATGTTTGACAGTGGGGATGGTGTGTTCAGGGTGATGAGCTGTGTTGCTTTTACGCCAAACATATCGTTTTGCATTGCGGCCAAAAAGTTCGATTTTGGTTTCATCTGACCAGAGCACCTTCTTCCACATGTTTGGTGTGTCTCCCAGGTGGCTTGTGGCAAACTTTAAACAAGACTTTTTATGGATATCTTTGAGAAATGGCTTTCTTCTTGCCACCCTTCCATAAAGGCCAGATTTGTGCAGTGCACGACTGATTGTTGTCCTATGGACAGACTCTCCCACCTCAGCTGTAGTTATCTGCAGTTCATCCAGAGTGATCATGGGCCTCTTGGCTGCATCTCTGATCAGTCTTCTCCTTGTTTGAGATGAAAGTTTGGAAGGACGGCCGGGTCTTGGTAGATTTGCAGTGGTCTGATACTCCTTCCATTTCAATATAATTGCTTGCACGGTGCTCCTTGAGATGTTTAAAGCTTGGGAAATCTTTTTGTATCCAAATCCGGCTTTAAACTTCTCCACAACAGTATCTCGGACCTGCCTGGTGTGTTCCTTTGTCTTCATGGTTCTCTCTGCGCTTTAAACAGAACCCTGAGACTATCAAAGAGCAGGTGCATTTATACGGAGACTTGATTACACACGGGTGCATTCTATTTATCATCATCAGTCATTTAGGACAACATTGGATCATTCAAAGATCCTCACTGAACTTCTGGACTGAGTTTGCTGCACTGAAAGTAAAGGGGCCGAATAATATTGCACGCCCCACTTTTCAGTTTTTTATTTGTTAAAAAAGTTGAAATTATGCAACAAATTTCATTCCACTTCACGATTGTGTCCCACTTGTTGTTGATTCATGACAAAAAATTAAAATTTTATATCTTTATGTTTGAAGCCTGAATACTTTCGCAAGGCACTGTATATATATAATGGATAAAGAATAAACCGACTTAAATCATCAGCGTTCTCAGTAAATGATATTGTTTCTTTGTTCTCAGCAGAGCACGTGCTGTTGTTGTGAACCCGTGGGTGGGGGTTAGAATCCTCTCCCTGTGGTCTGACCAGGAGAAAGTTTGTATGTGGTTTTCACAGCACACGCGCTGATGAGGGGTGTGTGTGTGAGCGCAAGGCTAGATCACGGTCACACACAGACGCACACACGACATCCTGCCCACCCACGCCACATGTGGAAGAGCCGGGTCAGGTCATAAGTTTGCTCTCAATCACAACTTGTGTCAAAAACATTCTCCCGCTCTCTGCAGATACACGCTGTAAAAGCAGTTCTCTCAGACCAGAGTCACAAAGCTCAGTCCACTCAGAGATGGGAGAGAAGTCACCTACAGACCTATTGTTCTCGTTTCCAGTGGTAGGGGAAACCGGAGCACCTGGAGGAAACCTACGCAGACACAGGAAGAACATGCAAACTCCACACAGAAAGGACTGGCGGTGGAATCGAACCCAGGACTCAAAAGCACTAACCACTCATAAGATTCTCCAAAGTAAAGAAAACAGAATCAATACTAAAAATGTTCCCTCTCCATTAAAAGTGCTCTAGTCTAGGTCTAGCTCTAGTCTAACTCTAGTCTAACTCTAGTCTAACTCTAGTCTAACTCTAGTCTAACTCTAGTCTAGCTCTAGTCTAACTCTAGTCTAGCTCTAGTCTAACTCTGATAGACCAAGAGGGACTAAAGGAGGACCTGGTACTGGTTACACTGGTTTTGTGGAATCACTCCCAAGTAGAGTAGGGTAGAGTAGAGTAGGGTAGGGTAGATTAGAATAGAGTAGAGTAGAGTAGAGTAGGGTAGGGTAGGGTAGAGTAGGATAGAGTAGAGTAGAGTAGAGTAGAGTAGAGTAGAGTAGAGTAGAGTAGAGTAGGGTAGGGTAGAGTAGGGTAGAGTAGAGTAGGGTAGGGTAGAGTAGAGTAGGGTAGGGTAGAGTAGGGTAGAGTAGGGTAGAATAGAATAGGGTAGGGTAGAGTAGGGTAGAGTAGGGTAGAATAGAATAGGGTAGGGTAGAGTAGGGTAGGGTAGGGTAGAGTAGGGTAGAGTAGAGTAGAGTAGGGTAGGGTAGAGTAGGGTAGAGTAGAGTAGAGTAGGGTAGGGTAGAGTAGGGTAGAGTAGAGTAGAGTAGGGTAGGGTAGAGTAGGGTAGAGTAGAGTAGAGTAGGGTAGGGTAGAGTAGAATAGAATAGGGTAGGGTAGGGTAGGGTAGAGTAGGGTAGAGTAGAGTAGAGTAGAATAGAATAGGGTAGGGTAGGGTGGAGTAGGGTAGGGTAGAGTAATAATAATAATTATATAGCGCTTTTTTGGACACTCAAAGACGCTTCACATGTCATTATTAGGGGCCGATGGCACCAGTCTGTGCCATCGGCCCCTCCCACCACCACCAACCATTCACACACACACCAGACTCATTCTAGGCAATGGGGGTGAAGTGTCTTGCCTAAGGACACAACCACAGTTTGGCACTTTACAGCCGCCCCACTGTGGCTGCTGTTCCCAGAGGTTAAGTGTCTTGCCAAGGCTCAAAGGCCAATGCTCTACCAACTGAGCTACTGTCGCCCTCGTAGAGTAGAGTAGAGTAGAGTAGAGTAGAGTAGAGTAGAGTAGAGTAGAGTAGAGTAGAGTAGAGTAGGGCTGGTGGAAACTTTTGAATATTGAAAAGTTTGGTTTTGTCTTTGAATGACTTCATATTATTCAGAGCAGGTGTGCAGCCTCTGTGTGACCTCTCACCGCAACCTGACAGTGTACACACAGAGAGAGACACACACACACACACACACACTCTCTCACCGGTCCTCCAGCTCCGACATGTGGAAGGAGAGGCGCAGGTAGAACTTCTGGGCCTGAGTGAAGAGCTGCCGCAGGAGGAGCACGTTGTTGTGAGCCGTGTTGATGAGCTCCGTCTCCACCTCCCCTCGCACCACCTCCTGCAGCCCCTCCAGGAGGTCACGCACCTCGTCTGCTGTGAAGGTCTGCTCCACCAGCCTGAGGATGAGGAGGAGGAGGAGGAGAGCACACACATGCAGGGGGAGGAGGAGGGGAGGAGGAGAGCACACACATGCAGGGGGAGGAGGAGGGGAGGAGGAGAGCACACACATGCAGGGGGAGGAGGAGGGGAGGAGGAGACCACACACATGCAGGGGGAGGAGGAGGAGAGGAGGAGAGCACACACATGCAGGGGGAGGAGGAGGGGAGGAGGAGAGCACACACATGCAGGGGGAGGAGGAGGAGAGGAGGAGAGCACACACATGCAGGGGGAGGAGGAGGAGAGGAGGAGAGCACACACATGCAGGGGGAGGAGGAGGAGAGCACACACACATGCAGGGGGAGGAGGAGGAGAGGAGGAGAGCACACACACATGCAGGGGGAGGAGGAGGAGAGGAGGAGAGCACACACATGCAGGGGGAGGAGGAGGAGAGGAGGAGAGCACACACATGCAGGGGGGAGGAGGAGGAGAGGAGGAGAGCACACACACATGCAGGGGGAGGAGGAGGAGAGGAGGAGAGCACACACATGCAGGGGGAGGAGGAGGAGAGGAGGAGAGCACACACATGCAGGGGGAGGAGGAGGGGAGGAGGAGAGCACACACATGCAGGGGGAGGAGGAGGAGAGGAGGAGAGCACACACATGCAGGGGGAGGAGGAGGAGAGGAGGAGAGCACACACATGCAGGGGGAGGAGGAGGAGAGGAGGAGAGCACACACACATGCAGGGGGAGGAGGAGGAGAGGAGGAGAGCACACACACATGCAGGGGGAGGAGGAGGAGAGGAGGAGAGCACACACATGCAGGGGGAGGAGGAGGAGAGGAGGAGAGCACACAGACATGCAGGGGGAGGAGGAGGAGAGGAGGAGAGCACACACACATGCAGGGGGAGGAGGAGGAGAGGAGGAGAGCACACACATGCAGGGGGAGGAGGAGGAGAGGAGGAGAGCACACACATGCAGGGGGAGGAGGAGGGGAGGAGGAGAGCACACACATGCAGGGGGAGGAGGAGGGGGAGGAGGAGAGCACACACATGCAGGGGGAGGAGGAGGAGAGGAGGAGAGCACACACACATGCAGGGGGAGGAGGAGGAGAGGAGGAGAGCACACACACATGCAGGGGGAGGAGGAGGAGAGGAGGAGAGCACACACACATGCAGGGGGAGGAGGAGGGGAGGAGGAGAGCACACACATGCAGGGGGAGGAGGAGGAGAGGAGGAGAGCACACACACATGCAGGGGGAGGAGGAGGAGAGCACACACACATACAGGAGGAGGAGGAGGGGGAGGAGGAGAGCACACACACATACAGGAGGAGGAGGGAGGAGAGAGACAAACACACACAGACACAGAGATGCACAAGAAAGAAAATAATTCAAAACATGACCCACGTGTGTCGTGTTGTAAAGTTCCTCTGCCCCCTACTGGCCGGGCGCTAGAACTACATTGTTTTTAATCCCCTATGAACACTGTGAAATTTGCATTAGGAGCCTGGTCGTTTCTGTTCATAGCTCGGCAACGTCTGCGCAAGGCCTCCGTTATAAACGGGGCCGTAGTTCAGTTGACTTGATTTATCTACATACTGATTCACCTCACACACCTCCAACACTGCATACACCAAGGGCCAAAGTCGCCTCTTCCTTCTGAGGAGGCTGAGGTCCTTCTAAGTGAGCAGGCCTCCGCTCAGGACTTTTTAGCCTCTGCCATACACTATGCTGCCGTGTGCTGGGCCCCGAGCACAGAGGTGAGGGACAGGAGCAGACTGAACAAGCTGGTCAGGAGGGCCAGCTCCACTCTGGGCTGCTCCCTGGACTCTGTGGAGGAGGTGAGGGACAGGAGGCCCCTGGACTCTGGAGGAGGTGAGGGACAGGAGGCCCCTGGACTCTGTGGAGGAGGTGAGGGACAGGAGGCCCCTGGACTCTGTGGAGGAGGTGAGGGACAGGAGGCCCCTGGACTCTGTGGAGGAGGTGAGGGACAGGAGGCCCCTGGACTCTGTGGAGGAGGTGAGGGACAGGAGGCCCCTGGACTCTGTGGAGGAGGAAGGAGCGCTACTGCAGGGCCTTTATCCCCACCGCTGTCAGACTGTACACCAAGTCACGTTAAAGCTGCACTAACTGACTTTATTTTTGTATTCATTAGTTAAATCCAATCCATGCAGTGCAGTGGGATATACTGTACATCATTTTAAAGAATAAGTAGTGCAGATTTGTTCTGGTGTGTCATTTTATTTTAGATCAAGTTTTGGTGAAACAAGGAAGAGAATGTTTTTTGGGACCAGACCGCTGGCCCCCACTTTCTTGAGAAAAGCCCCAGGTCTGTGGTTAGCACAGACAGCTGAGGTGAACAAGCGGCAGAGGCTAACCTGAAGCTTCCCGTGTCTTCGTTACCGGTTACTGCTTACTCAGAGAAACATCCAAAAGAAAGTTCTATTATTCTATGGTCACGCCACGTTCAAAAGTTCCATATTCCATATTGTGAGACGCTAGCTCCGTAAAGTTAACAACAGCACATGAACACACGCTGAGGGGGAGGGAGGTAGTGGGGGGTGATAACTTTGTGGGTGCGGGGAGGGGAGCAGAAAGAGCGAGGCCAGTTAGTGCAGCTTTAAGTCACTAATGCACTAGGACTGAAAAACCTGCACTGCTATTTCCACTTTTTAATTGTACATAATCATATCCTGAACAGACTATATTTTTAACCTTTAACACACACACTGTTGCACACTTCTGTCTTTTGCACAAATCTGAGTGATTCTATCTGTGCCAAATGTGACATGTACATTTCTCCATCAGAGATCAATAAAGTCTGTCTTATCTTATCTTTGACGTCTGTAATGGTTTCTTTTAAACAACTGCACAGAAGTTGGGGCCATCTTCAAGCTTTACTATCCACGGAATTACCCTATTGAACAAAGACACCCTTAGAGACCCCTAGATTGGCAACACGGGAGTTAGCATGCTAGCTCTCCGTCTGGGTTTCCACTGCAAAACAAGATAAATATCAATTTGATATTAGAAAAAAAAAAACATCTGTATGTATGTAGATGATCATTGACTTTCACAGAAGCCCTTCCCATCAACCGGTCACACTAAATGGACAGGACGTTGAAGTGGTACAGTCATACAAATATCTGGCTGCATTGGATTCATCACATTTTACTGTATAACAATCGCCAGTTAAAGGTACAAGAGGATTTTCCCAAATTTTAGGAAAGAACCGCCCTCTCCACTTTTTGAAAAAATTCTCTGGTCTTCATTGACAAACACGTATCACCAAAATGATTGACAATTAGGAGAACCAATTGTCCCTGAAGTAGATAATTCTCCTATATCCCTTTAAAGATGGGGTACCTAGTTTTAACTAGCTGTATACTAATGTATGTATAATTGTATATGTAACCAAGCTAGTTAGATTTTCCAAAAATATGTAATTAATGAGTATAATGTTGTGAACAAATCAAACATTATAATTATTGTCATTATCAAATAACATGTTATCTTATGCAAAGAGCCTTGTGAGTCACTATTTGACGCTTTGGGCTGCGAGCTGATTGGCTGAGTGAGGGTTGTCCTCTTTTTTAAACTTTTTTATCTGAAAAAGCTGATCTAGGGATGTGACAGGGGCCAAAACCAGGGATAGAACCAAAGACTGTAGATCTAACCAAACTGTTTTAGAGCCAGGAACTAGGATGTTAAAGACATTTCTTGTGACTTGAAAGTTAGGTACCCCAGCTTTAATACTTCAGAAATCCCACCTGCTTTCTTTGAGTTCCTCAAAGCAGGAGTCCACCGTCTTAAGCCTCAGGATCCGTTTCGAACGCGCAAACTTCATATAATTAATCATTTCATTTTGATGGTGCTCGTTGAAGCCAAAATCAGCCTGTGGGGGGGAAGAACAAGAGACACGCACACATACATTACACATACATTACACATACATTACACACACATTACACATACATTACACATACATTACACATACATTACACATACATTACACATACATTACACATACATTACACATACATTACACACACATTACACATACATTACACATACATTACACATACATTACACATACATTACACATACATTACACATACATTACACATACATTACACATACATTACACATACATTACACATACATTACACATACATTACACACATCAGAAACAAGGCATAATAACTATTCACTGATCATCAAAATGACTGTAAAGATCTTGTGAAGCCAATGCACATACTTAACATGTTTTTAATAGTATTCTTTGTACATATACACGCACGGTTTCACTTGTTCTCCAGGGAAACCATTCCCATGTAAAGACACTATTTCGATTCACTGTTTTAATGCAAAATTGCGATTGAACTGTTAACTCACCATGGCTGCGATGACTGAGTGGTGCTAACGAAGGCTAAGGGGAGCTAGCTAGCAGGGAGACGTGATCCAATAACAGCACGGCTTTTGGGGGGAATATGAATATAAACAGGTGCCGTTTTAATATCCCGTTACGAATAGTTGTTATGTCAACACGGTTTTGATCATAGCAGCGAGCTTATCCACGAAGCTAACAGTGCTATGATGCTAGCGGTTTGCGTGGTGGAGAGGAGCGTCATCACCTTGGTTACGGATGGCGCGTTCACAGACACTCGGTAAATCTTGTCAGTAAATAATACATTTCTAATACATGGATAATAACTGTTTATTAAAGTTAAACAGTATTTGTTAGCTTTGTTCATTCTAAACAGTGAAGATTGCTTTCGGAGTGACAATAATAACATTAAATAAAATACATTCAGATACTCTTTCAGACACTGGCGATAGATGGCGCCATAAGACCATTGAGAAGTTCCTCAGCGAACTGTTGTTCTATAATATTTTTGAATATTATTTAAATTGCAAAATGCCCATTTAACTCTAACTTGCCTGACTGTCAGAGAGCACAACTCTCTTCAGCTGCTGCCAAAGAGCAGCTCTGTTTTACAGTCTAACTATATATCGTGGATTAAACACTTTCTTTGGTGTTGTAGCCTGGGCTAGCCTAGCCCATGGCTGCTGCTGTCTCCGTGGCCTCCATGGATCTATAATAATGACTGGATAGGATATTACTAGCTTACAGCTGTCCCACCCATGGGCACAGGGGGCGCCCATGGTACTGCAGACTAAATTCACGCGGGCTACCCAGAAAAAAGACCCATAGATCTCAATGTAAACTATAACAGCTCGACCTCAGCTGACAGAGAACCTACAGCTTTCATAAAGATCGAATTTTGTGGGGATTTTAGTGTCCCTTGTCATTCTGAACTTTTTTTCTTCTTAAATTCTTCGGTTTTCTTTAAATCCACACTTTACTGCTACAGACTCAGCTCGTTTCCTTCCCGCTCTGGCTCCGCTCTGATCAGCAGATCTGATTGGTCAAAGCACACACGTATTTGGCCCAACGCATCATGGGAGAAAATCCACTGCGCAGAACCGGGAGGACCAGACGATGCCCAAATATAGCGGAGTTCCTCTGATGCACCCGTGAAGTCCCATGCGCTACTGAGCACAAGCCATCATTTGAATAGGGCGCCATCTTGGATCACCGGGGCTCGGTGGCCTCTCGTTCAAGGCTAGGCTTAAAACAGTCCTCTTCAATTTAGCATATGGTTAGGTTAGTAAGACTCAGGGAAGATTACAAATCTTTTTGAGTCAAGCTGCATATGCATGAATCAGTTTGCTAGGAGAAGTAAGGTATCTTGAGCACTATCTTCTCCTCCTTCCTACTTTATCTGTCTGCATTATTAGGATTGTCACTGTAGTCTGTTCATTGCTATTCACCCATTGTCTGTTTCATGGTGAGACGAAGGGATGCAGGAATCTGTTGGACAGTAAGTGTAGAAGGACTAGTGATGATCCAGGACTCTACACATTCTACTACATTTATCAACATTCATGGACATTGGTCTCTCCCTGCGGTCCAATGTTTTCTATATTTTTAGAGTCTTAACTGTTGATTCTCTGATCTGTGTTGGTGATTTCAATGGTTTTGTCAGTCCTCCTCAGTGTGGGTCAGTCCTCCTCAGTGTGGGTCAGACCTCCTCAGTGTGGGTCAGTCCTCCTCAGTGTGGGTCAGTCCTCCTCAGTGTGGGTCAGACCTCCTCAGTGTGGGTCAGACCTCCTCAGTGTGGGTCAGTCCTCCTCAGTGTGGGTCAGACCTCCTCAGTGTGGGTCAGACCTCAGTGTGGGTCAGACCTCCTCAGTGTGGGTCAGTCCTCCTCAGTGTGGGTCAGACCTCCTCAGTGTGGGTCAGACCTCAGTGTGGGTCAG